TAACTTTGATAAAATATTGGAATCTTGAATTAGTATTTGAACTCTGCACCCAAAAAGTGCTTGGGAATTCATTAACTGAGAAAAACACCATTCTCTAAGCAAGTATGTTCTGTGGTAAAAATTGAGATCAAAAACAAAAGGTTAAGCATTTTATCATTTAGGATGCTAGGTAAACCTTTATGTCCTCATTTGAAGATATTTAATTTCTATATTATGAAAGGAAATAAGTCCTAAGAAATCAAAAATTCTTATTTGTCTTTACTTTGTTAATTTGCGCCAATCCAAATTGTTTTCTTTGTGGTTCAGAGTTGAAATTATGGGAGCAAATTTTATCCAAAGCCACAAAATATTGTCCCTGGTATATTTTAATTTTAAAATTTCTCTTAATTGAATAACCATTCAAAGCTAACCGTTTTTAGCTTCTACTGTTGGCAGGTAATTAGTCCTTCTATCTCAAAGGATTGTCTTCACCAGATTGCAAGACAATTATATTTGGTCTGCTGCATCAGGTCACACGCTTTCCAAATTCAAGTAGCTTTAAAATTTTGCTAATCTCTTTTGAGTTCAACCAAACCATTAAGTGTTTGGCTTCAATGAAGTTGTTCAGTTGTGTGTATTCTGTTGAAATCGTATTGTGCAAATTCCTGGTACTGCAGATTGAAGTAATCATTCCACTGGTATATAAAGATTAAGATACTGAGCTAATTTTACAAATGCAGTGAGTTCTTTCATATGACTGAAGTAAATCCAGGTTTTAGTAAATATAAACTCACCAGTTTAAGTGGAATTGACTGATATTTCCTCATTTGTTTCATCATATGATCAGACGATAGGCTTTTGTTTCTGATTGTTCAACTGTGACTTGAATGTACTAAAAATTTCTTGCAGGCTTGATGTAGCACCTGTGCCAAAAGCAAACATTAAAAAAATTACAACTTTTGAGATTTTCGCAAAAATGCTACGTGCTAAGTTATATTTTTAGTTTGTCTATTTTTCTAAGGTTCAACTTTTTAATAGGGTAAATTATGAACGTGAATGTCCAGTCTTATTCCCACTGTAATTCCCACTATAACACCAGCCAAGGTATGCAGAGATGCCCACGTGCAAGGACATGATGAGCTTGGTATCAACATCTGCAAGGTGATTTGATAGGGCAGATTCTCTACCTGTCCAATTCATTGCATCTGTATTGAAGAGTGAGATTGGCCCAGAATCTCCTTATGTTAGAAGTTACTGTAACTTTGGTCACAAAATATGTGACAAAAGTCAACAATTTGTGTTTATTTGGAATCTTTTAAAAATTAAAAAAAGAGCATGACAGTGAGCCCCATGAGGAGATGTTAGGTCAGATGACCAAAGATTTGGTCAGAGAGATTGTTTTGAGGAACGTCTCAAAGGAAGAAACTTGAGCAGAAAGGATGGGAGGTGCATGAGTAAAATTCCAGAGGTTGGGACCAAGGCAACTAAAAGCATGACCAACAATGGTGGACCCATTATAATGAAGCCAGAATGAGAAGAGTATGGATATCTCAGACAGTTGTAGGGCTGACTTGACTACATAGGGGCATGGTGAAGGTGAGAGAGTTTGGTGATGGGCATGGCCAGCGTATTTATGAAAACTAGCACCATATTTTCAAACCATGTTACCAAGGGGCAGTATGTTAATGGGAGATGGGAACAAGATAGATCCATGGAGATACCAGGAGTAACTGTGCAGGAACAGGAACAGAGCCATTGTGAGTGATTGTCTGGCTTGGAGTAGGTAGATGAGAATGGAAATGTGTGACAGCTGTCCCACTCAGGTGGTCTGAAAAGCTTTGTTTCTGAGTCTGCAGCATGATAAGTTATGGAGCAGGAGGGGGAGCTGGTGGCTGTGACATTAAATAGTGGGGTCTCTTGTTGAATGCTATGCTGATGCTCCCTATGCTTCTCGAGGGCCTGCTCTGTTGGGAAGGTGGCAATCTCTGAGTCTTCTGAAATCAGAATAAGAGGGGGAACGTTAGTTGACGGGGTGGGGGGAGGTGGTGGAAAGCAGGAGATGCATGGTCATGTCTGCTGTAGTTTGCTCATTATGTCAGGGTGTAGGATCAGAAAAGGGTCAAAGGCAGGGACATACCATAATCTTCAACATTGTCAGTTTAGGAAATATCAGCTGGTCTGTTGCAGCTGGCCATGATGCAGAGAGACCTTTTCTCTACAGGCTTCAGGAGATGCTTGTCCTCTGTTTCTGCTTTGCTCCTTTCTATCATGTGCCACTTTGTCCTCCAAAAGAGAGGAAAGAATTCAGTCAGTGTCTTTGAGTAAGGTGCCTACCATAGCTGAATAGCTGGAGAATGTAAAAACAGCAAACAGCGTTGTAAGGCTAGCAGCCTCTGTCAGCCTGAGGTGTTATTTGAATGTAAAGCATAAGTATCAAGCCATGGAGTGCTGATTGCTGATAAAGAGGAGGGCAGTATACTGAACAGTATGAGGTGCTGAGGGAGCCGTGGTGGAAGATGCACTTACTGACATTGAAGACCTACATGAGGCTATTCAGCATCTAGTGGCATTGCTGCTAGTTCTTTGGGACTAGATGCAGACCCTGGTCACCCACTATTAATCTGTTCTTAGGTTGCACTTTGAAGATCTCCTTTTCCTGAATCATACCATAATTGTTGGAATTTTGATGTCATGCATCCTGTCTACCTGCTGCACTAAGGCACTCACTCTACATCTGTGAACTTATAGCATACTCTCTGACGTGAAGTTCCCTTTTCCTTCATCAGAATTGCAGCAGTAGTATTCTGCTGTAAATCAGTGCAGTTTACCTTTTCGAGGGACAGAGTGCCTTTAAGTACAAAATGCTGGCTGCACATTGCTGCTGCTCAGCTCTGTGCTAAAGTGCAAAGAGGAACCAGATCTGGAGCAGACAGCAAGCAGGGAGACATAGTTAAGTAAATGAGGTGATAGCACACAATTTTTCTGCTGTCCAACAGGCAAATGCAGTCAAACCTGGGTTATCAAGGTCAGAAATAATAAAAATAAGTACTTTCTGTTCACAGAAGAGAACTCATCATTTTCTTCTATGCTTTTGATATTTGTGTGAGGTCTAACATGAGCTGGCCTATATCCAGCACATGATGTTTTTGAAGATCAACAGATTTTTTTCAAGATAGTGTAGAGGTTTCTGACGGTATGACATCCCTCTGTCTACTGTTTTAACAGAGATGTTAACTCCATTTAACGCATTCGCATTAAAACTGTAGACAAATGAATATCTTATAAAAGTGTTAAGCATTTGCCAGTTTTCTAATCTATTTTCTGAAAGAGTACTTGAAATTCTAACATTGTTTTTCGCTTTTCTAAAGGTTTAGAGATGTAGGTATGGAGGATTGTGGTGCTCATGCGACAATGTAATTTTTGAGCTTTTGATGTGAACAATGAAATGGAAACTCACCATGATCTGAAGAACGAAATGAAAAATTGATTTGGGATTCTGAAACTGAGGAATGTTTAAATATTACACAATGTAATTCAGAAATCTTGACATTCCAGATCCTTTATAAATGTATATGATGGTTATGTACTCTTGTCATTGTCGCTGGTAATGGTAGTGTGCTATGGGCAGTTAAAATTTCTGGTGAAGAGCCCAATCTTTAAGTCTGGGTCTATAATTTGACATGCATACGCAATATTAACATCCTAGTTGATATTATAGTGAAAAGTACTCACACAATTTGGTCTTGGCATTAAGAACTGGCCCTTTCATTGAGCGCCATTCAGTGTTGGCAGGAAGTCGCGTTTTTAAAGGAAAGCCCTGTGATTTCTGAATGCTGGAAGGTGAAACTAATCTGAAGAATCTCAATCCTTTTCTCAGTGGACATATTATGAAATTGACCCAGAATTTGCCATATTTTGTTAATTTGCCAAATTTAACTTAGTGAGACTATTTTAAAAAAGCTGAGAATTGTAATCTCCACTTTGGTAGAGGGACAGAATTGTTTGACAAGGTAATGGAGTGGTTGTATGGATTATTAAGTACCAACTTCATGAGCTTGACTGGTGCATGTTGCAAAATGTAAATTCCCAACAGGATCAATCCGTACATATTAATGTGAGGGCATATGTTTCACAAAGTAAACCAGTTTATCTAACTTTCTTGCAAAGCATTTGTGACGACTTGGAATTGTCATGGTACCTAGAGCAGATTATTGTTTACTCCTCAAAACTGCGTTCTTAATAAATGAGACTCTGAAGTTGTCAAATTAAATTTCCATGCCGGCGAGGTTGTTTGGCGGTTATTTTGACTTTTGATGCTTCAAAATTTGTATACACCTGATAATACCAGTCCCAACATTTTCAGGTTTATTTAATGTCTCCAAGAGGTTGGCGGAGTAGGACTCCTCAGCTGGACCTCGTCTGCTCCATCTGTTTCTTTTCTATTTTTTCTCTCTGTTCGTGTTTTTTTTTACCTTCTGTCTTCTTACCTACCGCCCTGAGCCTCAAGTGAAGTCATTGCAGGCTCCGGCCTCAGTGCTGACGCCCAGCCTCAACACTGACTTCCAGCCTCGAGTGAATCCAGAGTGACCTCTCAGCACTCCCGGCATCAAGAACCTCGAGATGAGGCCTGGTGCAGCCTGGAGGCGAGGGCCTGGTGTGGACTGGGTTGGAAGGACTGTTATTCCGACCTTTTATTTCTTTATCTTTCTAATTTGTGCCTATGATTTTGTCCATAAGAATCTGTACCTAATTCTAATTCTAATGAATAATTACCACAACTTTATGTCCTTCATGTAATTTAGTGTGAAAGTTCCAGTCAGTGTAATGAAATAGGAGGGCAATGCAGAATGCAGCATCCCTGCCTTTAACTCCAATGTCTGGCATCCATGCATTGCTGTCTGGCTTACTCATTCAGTGTTATTCCCATCACAAAATCTAAGCTGTTTTCTTTTTCAGAAAATGCAAAACACACCTTTTTCTTTTAGGAGAAGTCACTGTTCCATTTTTGTCCTTTGTTGTAGCATGTCATATGTACCGGGCTATGGTGTAAAGTAGATGGTGAGCAGGAATGCAAAACCAAACTAGACCCACCACTTGATGGAACAGAATGTGAAAGAGAAAAGGTAAGGACTTTATTCTCTGTGTTTAATGTCTGTTTCCATGTTTTTTTTTCTGAGATATATCAAAGTTGCAAATGTTTGACTATCTGATAGATTGCATCTCTTTCTATTTGATTTCCATTTTCTAAAGAAAGATAGAATAGTAAACTTTTAGTAACAGGTTAACCTAACTAGTTCCTGCTGCGACTATGCTGTTGCAACATGATTATTCCTTTATTCATTTGTCCCCTTGAGCATTCTCCATGTCAACGCATTGATCAATCAGGAGCTAATTACCAACCAATCATGCTGTACAAATTGTTGTCCCCTTTGAAACTTGATGTTCTTGTAAAATGATAAGTTTCAACAGTATGACTCCTTTTTCAGCAATGATGGGAACATTCCACAGAAGTATGAAAGCCACAATTGTTGACACAGCATAAAGAAAAAAGAACTCTACCACTAAGTTGCTAAACCTGAAAATGGTATAGAATTTTTAAAGTAGTAATCATTCTCTAGTGGGTGATTTATGGGTGGTTTAGATGTTTGAGCTTGGTTATACCGCATTTAGCTATTAATCTGACACGTTTAAAATAATTGATAAAATTCCTTATGCCAGATTGTGGCAGGATGAAAGTGTGCATAGAAAATATTACAGATTTTACTGCCTGGGCTGGTCCAATAGGCATCCACTGCATGGGAATATGTTGTATTTCTCAAAGTAATGCTCCTCCACACTCTGCATGGGCATTATTCTGCCAACAAATCTCTATTGGCCAGTTCTTTACAGTGACCAAGATCTTATCTTGAACTCCACAATTTGACCTTCAATGACAGCATTTAATGAGGAACCATCAAATGTTAGTATCTGATTTTCACTTGGACTTTTTTTGAGGAACTGATGTTCCAAGTGATTCATTGTCAGGACATTTTCAATCTACAACATGATTTACCCCTGTCTGGTGAACCAGACACTGCACCCGCTGATCCAGCTCATTATTTTCCTAAATATTGGTGTTAGACAGCTGCCTAAATAATGCGTTCCCTTTCTTTTATATCATACAAGAGTCCAAACTTATTGTATAATATTCCAAACTGCATAACACCTATTGATTCACACTCTTATTAGTAGCATTTTACAACTTTGAGTATTTTGAATATCATGAGATAACTGCTATCCACCTCTAGGGATCTGCTCATTTTGAGCACTACCAATCTCTTTTCATTGATGGCACAGTGCTTGGCCACAATGTGGAAAGAGAATTAAGAATAGTGAAGGGAAACTGCTAGTGAGCAGCTCATAGAATTCCTACATGCAGAAAGAGGCCATTTGGCCCTTTGAGTTCTCACTGACCCTGCAAAAACCATTCCACCCAGACACAATTCCTGTAACGCCCCGTTTCCCATGGCTAATCCACCTAGCCTGCACATCCCTAGACACTATGGGGCAATTTAGTGTGGCCAATCCACCTAATCTTTGGACTGTGGGAGGAAACCCCTGCAGACACACTGAGAATGTGCAAACTCCACACAGACTATTACCCAAGGCTGGAATAGATCCCTGGTCCCTGGTGCTATCAGGCAGCAGTGCTAACCACTGAGCCACCCAAGGTCAGGTACATGATGGTCCTTTCGTTTCTCACCTACAAGAAAATGCAAGATGAAACCTGAATTCCACTCATTCTGTAAACCATTATTCAGATCAAACCTGTTCTAAACCTATGCTTTTCTACGAGGTTCAACCAAAATCCAGAGAAACTATCCAGAAACTACTCCCACTCTCCTTTGTGTCAGAATATCTACAACACTTCATCCAGCTCAGTCGCTCCAGAGTGATACAAGTTGGAGACGTTAACCACAGATGTGGACATTCAGACTGTCCAAATGAATACAAGTTCCCACAAACTGCAGTTCAGATACACAACTTACTGTACCATGTCTGAGTCTAAATTAATTACATTTAGTTTTTTAGTTTCTTTGCATCTTTATTTATTTTTCTACACACTAAACTGCAATAATCTGTAGACATAGTGTTATAATTTTACCGCCTCAAGTTTCCACACAAGGTTCAAAAAGCCCCTCCTATCCTGTCTGCACTGAATTTTCATACCAGCCTTGTTAATGTTGCACTGTTTTTTTCAAAAACAGTTACAGTTGAACAAGGTTCCTCACTAAGACCAGACATTCATAAAATCATCGCTTTGTTGTCAACATTGAGTCTAACCAGGTCGAGTGTTAGTTGCAGAGTGGTGATTCTCAGTGTTGTTTCAACAGTATACGTCAGCTTCAAACTTAGCACTCCTTACTATGTTAGTGTGACATTTCTATTTCCTGTGGCCTCTTGTAGTGAGATTGCCAATTAGTGTTAATTAGTCATGTTTGTGCCATGGATCCATGCCAAGCAAAGAGTTTAAGCAGTCTCAAACTCCTTACATGTGGAATCCCTCCAGACAGCGTGCACACAAACTTTCAGTCGATCTGCATATGAACCTAGAAAATAAAGGCCAGTTCTTAGCAGTTGTACCACCCAATCTCATGTGGTTTGGAGCTTTCTACTTCTGTTAATTTATTGAGTGACTGGACTTCTTGGATTTCAAGCTAGCGTACTTTTGGAATTTCCATCAGCTTCAATTCATTGAAGCCAGAATTGTAAGCTCTGTATTTTAGATGATTTATTCACAAATATGATTTGATGAGTTAGTTAAAGTGAATAATGGAGATTTTAATTCCTAGGCAAAAATAACAGGAGAGATGTTGGCCTCACTGTCTGGGCATGAAGTTTTTGGCCTGGTCTGAGTAAGATGTTGCCAGCCAATTGTCTGGCAAAAGTGGGTGTAAACATTCTAAAGAACCAGATTACTACCCAGCAGCACTCAGATAAATCCAGGGGAGATTTGGGAGGGTTACACAAGTGAAAAGGAGAGGGAATCTAGTGCGGCAGAGGCTCAGATTTTCTCTGTAGGATTCTGGCTTCTTTTCACCCCACAAAGTGAAGTATGCTACCGACCTTCTGGGACTTCTGCATCGGCTCTGACAGTTTTTACTGAAGTCAGCATTAAAATTAAAATTAGGCCCCAATCATTGCTGAGCCTGCTAGAAATTAAATGTGCCCAGTCGAGCATTATCGACACGTTGAATATTCCTGAATGTCTTTGGCTTGTTTATCTTGCCCTCTGGATTATTACAGAGCTTAATTATGCTTACAGTATCAATATTTTTGCATTCTGTTGACTTCAAGGAGTAAAATCAGATGAGGTATAAAACCAATGATGCTGTCAGTTTTGCAATAACCAGGTTGGGTGAAAATTGGCCCAAGATTAAGTAAAATTCTTCACAATACATTAAATACAACCTAGCCAGTATATTACAGAACCTCAGCGTGTCCTCTGTTGACATCAACTTTTATTCTGGCTATGTTTCCCACTTTTCTAACTGATTTATGTTACAGCTGTAAAGTTGTTCCAGCATGGATTCACCTTGTACAAATGCTTATGGTTGATTACATAAATGAATGCCATCATGTGGAGGTGCCGGTGTTGGACTGGAGTGAACAGGGTCAAAAATCACATGACGCCAGATTATAGTGCAATGGGTTTATTTGAAAACACAAGCTTTCGGAGCCTCACTCCTCCTTCAGGTGTTAGTGAGAGAGTTGGCATCGGACACGGAATTTATAAACAAAAGATCGAAGGGTCATAGAACTGATGTGAATGTATTGAACAAACCTAAGATGGTTGTTAAATCTTTAATTAGTTAGAAAGGAGATTCAGGTTTCAATTGATTAATATGCAAATCCCAGAATTTCTTTCAAGTCACTGCCCCGTGATAACTGAAGGTTTTATCAGTTCCCTCAGTGTACCAGAGGTGACATCCAAGAACAGACAATGCATTTTAAGTGTGAGGCCTTGTTTACAATCTGGCTGTGTATCAACTTGGAGTCAGATTGGTTTTATTTCCAAAGTAGGAATTTATACAATGCCACATTGTCTACAAATTGAGACAACAAGGTGCAGGGCTGGATGAACACAGCAGGCCAAGCAGC